TCTCCTCAGGGCTGTTCTTGACCTATTCTTCACCCAGCCTGTATCTGTACTTAGGTTGCCCCAACCCAGGGCCAACCCAAGCCCATCACCTTTTTCTGGGCATATGGAGGAGATAGTTCTCCATGGCCTGTTCCCACTGGATGTTCCCAGCTTTTATAGCAGAACTGGAGAGTAAAAACAGTGGGAGGGGAGAAATGCTTCTGAAATGGAGAACCTCAGAGCTGTTCTTCTCCACAGCATGCTCTTCTCAGCATCCACAGACAAAACCGTGGCTGTGTGGGATAGTGAGACTGGAGAGAGAGTGAAGAGACTGAAGGGCCACACCTCCTTCGTTAACTCCTGTTACCCGGCCCGGCGAGGGCCCCAGCTGGTCTGTACGGGCAGCGACGACGGGACGGTGAAGGTCAGTGTGTCCTGTAAGGAGAGAATCTGGGGTGTCAGTCAGAGAGGATCTTTGAAAGAATTTTTGGGAATCTTCCCATTTAAGTGGGCTAAACTCAGCCTTTCATTACTTTTATAATTTCATTATCTAATGACTTCGATTTCAGAAATTAAAAAAACCAAGTAAAGTTCAACTGCTCCTTTATTTCTGTCATTCTTTGGAGAGGGGATTAGGAAGATTTATCTGCTCAGTTGTACTTTTCTGTGCTAACAAAGCATGAGGAAGGCAAGCTGTTAATGAAATCTCACATGCTGGCCTTTTCTTCCTTCCCCACACTCCTGTGCTCCAACCACACCAGACTTTTATCATATTTTTTTGTAGGCATCTCCTGTGATCTACAAGAGGGAATTTCAACAGAGCAGTCTGACTCTCTGCCAAGTATCTGTGCAACTTCCTGTAACTGTTAAATATCTATATGTGACTTTTACAACTCTCTTGTCTTTTCAGCTGTGGGATATCAGGAAAAAAGCTGCTGTCCAGACATTCCAGAACACGTACCAGGTCTTGGCTGTAACTTTCAATGACACCAGTGATCAGATCATATCCGGAGGCATTGACAACGATATTAAGGTAGGACACCTCTGTCCTCTGTACCTGTCTCACCTCACGCACCTTTTCCATCCTGTCACATCTTGCTTTGGTCAAGGACAAACATGGAAGCCTCTTGATTAATTTTACAGTCACAAGAACCACACGGACCTGCTGTGTCTGACCTCGTTGTTGATACAGGGCCAATCAACCCTGAGG